AGTGGTTGCAATTACCTTTGCAACCACTTTTGCAACCATACTTTTTCCTTTTTTGGATTATGGCACTAGTCTTTAATATATTTTGTCAAAAGAGGACACTTTTGTTGTGATTGAGAAGAGAGAAATCATCAAGGATCCTTGAGTTTTGTTCTTTAGATTTTCCTTTAGCAGATGCATTGTTTGTAATTATCAAATAAGTAAGAGTTATTACACTCAGAACCAAATAGGTTGTTTTGTCAAAGAAATAGCCAATACAAATTATACCCAGGAATTCCAAGAGATCATAATATATTATAAAGGAAATTTTTTTACTCCAATGTTGCTTTTAAAGTGTATGATTTATTAATAAAGTTAATAAAATTAATTCTTTTTTTTCGCTTGTGCTTTGTTGATACCTAAAAAGGCAAATGATTGTCATACACGTGATCAAAATGTCTTACCTGGGGGGTGGGGGAGTAAGCGCTACTATTAAAATGATATTAGCTAATATATGTCAGCGCCAGTGTTGTGACCCGAAACAGAAACCAACAGAAGCCACCTAAAACTAGTTTAGGTTAGTAGTTTATTGTTGTTATCATCCATTTTTCTTTTCCTAAAAACAAAAGATTTATAATAAGTAGAATTTCGCTTTTTATAAACAATGTATTACTATTATCTTTGAAAAAAAAATCGATAAAATTAAAAATGATATCTCACAAACCGGTTTATTTATATTGTTCCATTTGCTAAACCTGAGAACCTGTTAGAAAAAGAGATTAACATAATGATATGATAGTAAAATGCTTTTCACCTGCAATTAACGGAATCTCTGCCCCATAAAGCAGTTCTATTAAATCACAAGCGCAAAGAGGAAAGTATATTTCATCTTTTATGGGAAATTAAGCCTTTCATTCTGGCGATCGCTTTTTGTAGAATGAAAAATAAGGCAAATTTTGACGATCTTCAGAGATTGTAAAGATCTCAAGTTCTATAATTCACATGAAATTTGATATTATTGTTACTGATAAGAACAATAAACCTTCCATTCTTTTATACTTTTCAAGTTTCATTGGCGTTTCTTCTTATCGGAGAAACCATATTTAATAAGAAAAGGCTTTATTATTAATACGTATATATAACGATAGAAAATAATTTTAGCGAAAAAAAAAAAAACATTGTGAAACGAATAGATATTATTATTGTGTTATTTTAACATAAGAATATTTCAGTATTAATTGTTGATTTTTTTGGATTTTTTATGTCATACAAGTGAAAAAGGCGTCCGATGAAAATTTAATAATTTCAGTTAATATAAATAAACTAAATTATTTTTTTATCATGAAAAATCAAAAATGGATCTACCACAGTTTTTTGATGGATTTAAAGGAGAAATATTTTATCCTAAAAAAGATCGTAATGAATATTTGCATAAATCTTATCAATATGCAAAAAGTTCATTTCGTAGTATCAAAGATATGAACCCCAAATTTGTGCTGTATCCGAAAGCAACAAATGATGACGATTTTGATGATATTTATATAGCGTTAAAATACGCTCAAATGAATAATTTGAAAGTTGCTATTCGTACAGGTATGTTATTTTAAGATTAACTAAAATCAAAATAAGCTAACACTTAAACGTGTAATAACGATTTATGGTGAGTAAATTTATATTATATATTTTATTTTTATAAATATTTATTAAAGGTGGGCATCAATATACCGGTGCGTCTTCTACCGATCGTAACAACATACAATTAGATTTATCTAATACATATAAGAATTTTGTGTGGAAACATAAGAACACTGAATTAGAAATTGGAATTAGTCACTCATTGGATGAGTTTGCGAAAATATTACAAGATAAAGGACGGTTCTTACCGATGGGTCAATGTGAATATGTAAGTTTGGGAGGACATATACAAACTGGTGGTTATGGACAACTCGGGAGGGGTTTTGGTCTTTTAATAGATTATATTAAGGAGATTAAGATTATATCTTATGACGAAACTGAAAAAAAATATATAGCAAAATGGATTAAAAAAGGTGCCGAATTATTTCGTGCTGTCATTGGTGGTAGCCCGGGTAATTTCGGTGTAATTACACACGTTAAGTTTAATGTTTTAAAGGATCGCAATTATTCACCTCGTGAATTTTTTGGAGTTTGTGAATACGATCCTGGATATTTTAAAAAATTCTTGGATATAATATTAGAAACCGTCGACGAAGATGATTTTGATTATTGTGTCACACTCATATCTGACTCAGGTATAGAAGATATTGGAAATGTCTTAGATAATGATCCATCATATGACGAAACATATAATCGACAAACGTATGTTAATAGTGGTGATGAAGATGTTGTTTGGCCAACTATGATCATCATACACGCTTATCATTATCAAAAATACGACGAAAACACTTCTCCAATTAAGAAAATAAAAGATGTTGTTAAAGAACCAAAGAAATGGACAATTGTAACAGACACAACAAAAAAGGATATTAAAGTTTCAGATTTAGTTAGAGATTGGATTGTGTTTATCAGAAGAGAATTTCAATTGCAGTATATAAAGCGTGGGTATTTTACCGATTGGGAAGCAAGCAAGTTAATTGATACTAATTGGTCCGCTTGGGTTACCAATCGTGTTAACTTAGCAATACATAAAAAATTAAAACTTGCAGCTCAATTCAAATACTATGGTGGTGCAGAATCCGAATTTTATAAGAAAGGCGTAGAAAACCAGGATAAAACATCAATTAGTTGGCGAAATATGAATTTTGGATTTACCTTTGACGTATTTTTCGAAAAAGAGAAATTTCATTTAGCAAGCGAATGGCAAAGAGAAAATGATAAATGTGTTTCAGTGAATAATCCTATATTTTCTGATAAAGATATGCGTTTGTTATGGGCTTCTCATGACTTAAATCTCGATTATTTTCATGATTGTTATTATGAAACTGAAGACAAATATAAAAACTTATGTGAATTAAGAGATAAATATGATCCTGATAAAATTTTTATTCCTAATAATTTTTGTGTTGGTGTAAAGGATGAAGCTCCAAAAGAAGATTTAAAAAACATATTAGACGAGAATTGTGAAAAATTCAAGAAAATGATATCAGGGAGAGGTTTTACTCCGATTTGGAAAACATGGAGGGGTTTTGAGAGAAAGGATTTTGAGAGAAAGGGTTTTGAGAGTGAGATTAAGAGTGAGAGTGAGAGTGACAGTGAGAGTGAGAGTGCGAGTGCGAGTAAGAGTGTGTGATAGAGAGTTTGATAATTAATTATTATTTTATTAATTTTTAAATGTAAAGTCTTCTATTTATAAAATCGACTAGATTTTTTCTTTTTTATCAATGTTATCTGTTACATTTAATACTCTCAAGTTTTATTTATAAGCAAAAAATTATATAAATTTTATCTTGGCATTAAATTTTTTACTTGACAAGTTATTCACTTTGCTAGAATATTGTAATGGTCGAATTTTTTGGCAAAAATAAAAACACATACGATATATATCATTGAGTTTTATTTTTAAATTCTTGTCCTTTTTTCGAAACAAAGTTCAACTATGTTAAGAATCCTCTGAGATGTAATTTGTGTGGAGACACGTTCACACCAGATCAATTGACCGTTTCGTTTCGGATTTGATCACTATGAAAAATATGGCGAACTTCCAATTAGATAGACCACCTTGTTTTCATATATCAGCAGAGCTATTAATATGTTTACGTTTGTAGTCTAATATACATTACTTTTGTTTCATGTACCATCGAGCTAATTTGGCTATTATTAGAAGTTCACAGAACGCCGGTTGATATATTTGTGCGTTAATATGTAGGGATATCAAAATTGGATTAACTGCACATGATTTAGATTCTTGTTAAAAATCATGCGTATATATGTTTCGATTTTTTCCCATATATCAGTATTACTATTATTATTATTACTATAGATTATCTCTTCGCTTTATTAAAAATGAATCATGTATTCTTAGACTATAGGTTAATAATTGCTAAATATGTCTGTCTGGTTTAGATATCAATATTATTCTTGGTAATGTCACCGATTAAATTTAGGAGAGCGTATTTTAATTGGTGATAACAATTATTTTTGTTTTTGCGTGGATCAGAATGAATAGGGGATCAACGAATTGATTTTGGTATTAGCGAATAATTTTGGTTAAAGAAGATAAAAGTTTTTAAATAAAATGAAATATTTATTATTTTATTTATTTATTTATTTAGCTTTTCTTAGTCGGAACTAATTAACTTATGAGAAAGTTACTTTACAAGTACATTGAACTCAAGCTCCTTATATACAATTCAATTAATTAGTAATTCTAACATCCCAAAATTGAGATTAGGGATGGGAAAGGTTTAACCCAAACCGGTTCAACTGGCGGTTTGAAACCGAACCGATGCGGTTTGGTTTACACATTTCAAACCGCGGTTAAACCCCAGTTCAAACTCCGATTTGAAACTGAGCTGGTTACACGTTACATTTCAAAAATTGGTCACACTTATTCGTTTTATATCGTTTTATTTGTTTTACAAAATATTGGATATAAAATATTAATTCACATCTTGATGCAACAAATTCTATATTATTGTTATTGTTATTGTTAAGGGATTTAACTACAACAAGATAATTAATTACATTTATAATTTACTATGGTTACTAGTACTATGACTTAAGAAAAGAAAAGGAAGATGTCAGCTATTACTATTTACTATTATTATCATTATATGGGGCATGCTGCAACAAAACCAGACAAAGTGAACATTGGTATTACCAAAAATTTCAGGGATCAATATGTTTGTTTTAATATCACAATTGTATCACAATGTAATGTGATCATGAATATTTGCTTTTTTTGCTTAGGATTATCTCTAGACAAAAGTAGTTAATATGAAACTCATCTACATCAGATCTACTATGGAACCCAAGAATTATAGTACTATCAGAAGAAAGAACAAGGTGAAAAATTGCTCCTTATATTTTCAAAATATATGATGCTCAAACACTGGAAGCTTATCTAAGAAAGAAAGGATTACCTATGAAATTTACCAAGAAAAATCATAACCAGTAAAAGAACCTTATCACAAAATCATGAAGAATTTAAAAAGAAAAGAAAATTGGAAGGGAAATAATTCACTACCTAACTTATCTTTTAAAGATTAAAGAAATTAAAAAAGATTTTGTAATGATATGTGAATACGTAGTATTAATTTTTCTTATTTCGCGTGGGTAGTACAAATTATTTTGAACATGTGTCACATAGAAAACACGAATTGATTTCGTGATAGATTAATCACACGCTTCGAACGTGTTACGTTCATTTATTATACCAATACAGTCGCACCTGTCTATTTGCATACCGTATATTTGCATAATCTGTTCATTTGCATAAAGGTAGCTTAGTCCCACATTGGGACTTATGAACTATTTGCATAACGTAAACGTGCATATGCATCAAAAGTGATCCTGATT